CATAGCTTTCTAGAGCCAATTTGTGAAGTTTGAGTTGTTCTTGAGCGTATATAGTTTACTCAATATCTACTCTTAAGGAGAGTCTTGTTCTTGAGTGTCTTAGTGTTGTATACAGGTTAAGGGAAGCTTGTTTCCCTTGGTTGTACGAAGGAAAGGTATTTTCCTTCGGGTTGAAGTCTTGGAGTGCGGTATCTCCGAGCAAGTGTATTGAGGCTCGTGGGACTCGAGTTCTCAGGTTGTAACGGTTTGTTAAGCACCCGTAAGCTTAACGGAAGTAGTGTAGCTCGAGACAGTCTCTCGGGAGGCTGGATTAGCCACAAGTTGTGGTGAACCAGGGTAAATCTTGGTGTGCTACCTTTACTCCTTTTTATTCCGCTCTTTACTTTATCCCTACGATTTTTATTCCGCGAAAATTTATAAACATTCTCGTGCCTCACTATTCACCCCCCCTCTAGTGAAGGGCACTTATTCTAACATCTCCGAAGCTTGAACTCCCTAAATTTGCCTTTGATGAGGAATTCTTCCACATCTTTGAGTGAGACTCTGGAACTGCATCTTCCAATCACGGCTTTGCTCAGTTTTCCGGCTAAGACTTCTTCTTATGCCGCCGTGAAATGAACTGAAGGAGCTGCTTTGTAGAAGCCACAAACCTTACCTAGAAGGTCACGTCCCTTGAGGAGATCGGAGAAGAGAGTCCTCTGGCTGAGCTCGTTCCGGGGTGATATCCCCGCTGGAGAGGTCACCGGAAAGTTAGAGGGAGAAACCGCCATTCATATATATATATATATATATATATATATATATTATGTATGTATGTATGTATGTATGTATGTATGTATGTATGTATTGTTAGGGTATCTCCCCAATTACCAAATATTAATTATGCAGGAGTTTATTTTATTTTTTTAGTAATTAGAAAATAAAATAAAATTTATATAATAAAATAAATAAGGAAATATATAAAGGTGACAAGATAAGACTGAAAAGAAGAAAATAAAGGGAATTCAAAGAATGGAAAACTATCCTGCAATCATGCATGTGAAGGAGGCCCACTTCCTTACTTCCTTATTTGAAAGGAATTGATTTATCCCTTATATCTCTTATCTTATGGTCCGGAGTATATATGCTTGTTTATTTTATTCTTTGTGTGTGTGTTTCTTAATATATAAAAGAAGAAACACTCCCTTCTTAAAAATGTGAGTGTAGACGTGTAGCACTAGCCATAGGGTGAGTTATTTTGTGGAGAGGATATCAATTGTTGTTTTGGTGTTGTGTTTGTTGTACTCCAATTAATATTATAGTAAAAAGTTTAATCCAAAAGGATCGTGGTTTTTCCCTAATTGAGAGGGTTTCCACGTAAAAAATATTTTGTCTTGCCCTTTTAATTTTTATGCACATATTTTATTCCTTTCATAATATTTTGAGTGTTGTGTTGTTATTTGAGAGGGTAATTTTTCTCAACAATTGGTATCGCAGCTTGGTTAGTTGTCCGGGAGGGAAAATTACCTTTGTGAGTGAGGGAAGTATATTGTGTCAAAGAAAATGGCGGAAGGTTCCCAAAAATTTCAAATTCCTTTGTTTGATGGGAAAATGAATTTTATGGTATGGAAGAGTACCATTGAAGATTTGTTGGTTCAACAAAATTTAAATGATGCTTTGGAGGAGAAGACGCTCGCAACCATTGATGATGCCAAATGGGCATTATTGCAGAAGAAGGCAGTAAGTGCTATCCGTCTCGCTATAGCTACAGAGATCAAGTATAACTACTTGACAGAGTCAGATCCAAGGAAGTTGTTGGAAAAACTTCAACGTGTATATGCATCAAAATCATTGACAAATATTCTTTGTCTAAGGTGGGAGTTGTACCAACTACGAATGGAAAGTGGTACACTTTTGCAGGAGCATATCAACATTTTTAATCAACTAGTATGCCAATTGAAAAATGCTCATGAAAAGATATCTTACCAAGAGCAAGCTCTACTGTTGTTAGCATCGCTCCCAAGGACATACCGACCTATTGTGCAGACTCTTCTTGTCGGAAGGACAAAGATTAGTCTAGATGAGGCAATGGTGGTTTTAAGAGAGAACGAGAGGATGATGTCACGAGATGATCTCCGTTCATCATATGATGGTAAAGCGCTGGTTGTGCTTGGTGCAGAGAGAGGGAGGAACCAAGAGAGAAAAAGAGATGTCCCTAGAAAAAAATTTAAATCTAGGCCTAGTAAAGATTTTAGTAATGTGGAGTGTTACTATTGTGGTGAAAGAGGACATATTCTAAGTCGTTTCCAGATGATGAGAGATGACTTTAAAGCTTTTCGAAGGGCCCACGAGACAAAGGGAAAGGCGAAGAAAGATGGAGGGGGTTCTTCAAATGTGGTGATAAATGGTGACAGCGATGATGGTGATTTGTACTTAGCAAGTCAAGATTACTTGAAGGAAGGCCAAGAAAAATGGGTGTTGGACTCAGCAGCCTCCGTTCATATATGTAAGGAAGAATCTAGTTTTGACAAACTTTGTCAAGACGGAGAATACGGGCACATCAACATGGGAGGAGGACAAAAGATGCCTGTAAAGGGCATGGGCACAGTCAAGTTAAAGCTTCATAGCGGTGTCACAAGAACATTTTACAACATGAGGTATGTGTCGGAGGCTCAAACAAATTTAATATCTTTAGGCGAGCTAACTACTCAAGGTTGCAGGTACGTCGGTACTAGAAAGAATGGGGTGAGTTGTTTTGTGGAGAGGATATCAATTGTTGTTTTGGTGTTGTGTTTGTTGTACTCCAATTGATATTATAGTGAAAAGTTTAATCCAAAAGGATTGTGGTTTTTCCCTAATTATATATACATATACATACATACATACATACATACATACATATATATATATATATATATATATATATATATATATATATATATATATATATATTCCAAAACCCTTTGGAGAATAATTGGTTGTTCACACGGAGAAATTGATAACCATCCAAACAAAACAAAACAAAACAGATCTGAATGTAAATAATAGAGTACTGAATCCAAAAAACATACTACTAAACTGCTCTCTCCATTAACATTGGAGCCTCATGATCAAAGAAAGTTGCCTAGAAAACAAGGCAAGCAGCTACCTATTACTTATATCATCTCTCTAGGGGAGTCGAATTTACTTTCCCGCTCCGTGCTTGTCTTTTGTGTGGGAACCCAGACCAGCTTCAGTAGCAAATGCCCTATCGCATTTCTGGCACTTATGAGAGCCTGCTGATTTTGGGGTCTGTTTACCAGCTGTCTTCCCAGATTTCTTGGAAGGGTGTGGTGTAGCCACATGATCATTGCTTTTCTTCCCATCAGTTTTCTGAGGAGTGGCAAGCTTCACCTTCTTTGTAGGAGTTTTCTTTGAAGATTCTGCAGCCCTCTTCTTGCCACTTTGGACCTTCTTTGGGGTCTCTTCCTCCTCAGACTCCTCATCTTCAGAATCACTTTCATCTTCATCCTTCTTTGCGGGGACAGCAAATTTCTTTTTAGAATCTGCAGGCTTCTTCTTGCCACTTTGGACCTTCTTTGGGGTCTCTTCATCCTCCGATTCCTCATCTGTCTTTTTAGATTCTGCAGGCTTCTTCTTCCCACTTTGAACCTTCTTTGGAGTCTCTTCATCCTCTGATTCTTCATCTTCAGAATCACTTTCATCTTCATCCGAATCTAACTCAAGATCAGAATCATCATCGTCAGCATCCATGTCTTCATCTTCATCACTGCTTTCATCATCTTCACCTTCCTCCTGTACTTTCTTTGGTTCAGATATTTTCACCTTCTTCTTGCCAGTAGATTCCTTAGCAGCACTTTCCTTTTCTTGTGCAGCAGCAGATTCCTTGGCAGCACTTTCTTTTTCTGGTATGGCAGGTGTCTTAATCTCTGGCTGGATGAACATAAAGGCTCCTCCTCTCCTTATTATAAGGACTTGGAAGATTTTAGTGATTGCATTGATGCTTGTGGTCTAACAGCCCCACCTTTCACTGGTGGAATCTTTACTTGGAGTGGCACAAGAAGTAAAGGAAAGCTTTGGAGAAGGTTAGACAAGGTGCTTCATAATCAATCAGCTATTATGGCCTTCAATGAAATCAATCTCACCCACCTTAGCAAGACAACCTCAGATCATAAGCCTTTGCTAATTCAATGCAAAGAAGAAGGGTTTAAGGGCCCCAAACCTTTCAGGTTTCTTAATGTTTGGACTACACACCATAGTTTTTTGGAAGTGGTCAGTAATTACTGGGCACATAGCCCTAGAACAGGAGGAATGACTGGCTTTGCTAGTAAACTTAAGGGTTTGAAACCTATTCTGGCCCACTGGAGCAAGAATCATTTTGGAAACATTTTTAAGGAGGTTAAGGATAATGAAATTAAAGCAGCCAGAGCCCAAGAGGATTTTGAAAATGACCCAACAGAAGAAAAGAGAGCCCAGGCTAATCTAGCCTCAGCTAATCTGATCCTTAGCCTTAACAAAGAAGTGGACTTCTGGAAACAAAAGGCTAACATCAAGTGGATGTCAGAAGGAGATTGCAATTCCAAATTTTTTCATTCATTTGTCAAAAGCAAAAGAAGAAAACTTGCAATCAAAACAATCCATGATGATCAAGGCATCATTTTGACAACCCAAGAGGATATTTGCAGAGAGGCTATTCACTATTTTTCTAATTGCTACACCACAGTCTCTCAGTCAGATGAAACCATTATTTCTCAATTCATTGATCAAGTCATTGATGACAGAGACAATCATTTCATCTGCTCTATTCCATCTGAAGCTGAAATTTATAAAGCTATTATGAATCTTAATCCTGATAGTGCAGCTGGCCCGGATGGTTTCAATGGGTATTTCTTTAGAATTTGCTGGAAGATTATCAAGGTAGATGTCATGCTAGCACATTTATTACCCTCATTCCCAAGATTGAAGATCCGAAAGGGTTTGGAGACTACAGACCCATATCCCTCTCCTCCTTCATGAGCAAAATTAATACAAAGATCCTAGCTACCAGATTGGCCACACTGCTGCCCAAATTTATCTCAGAAGAGCAGACAGGATTTCAAAAGAACAAGGGTGTTGAGGAACAGATTCTATTGGCTGAAGAAATGGTGCACATGCTAGATAAAGAGGTCAGAGGGGACAATTGCATTGTCAAGTTGGATATGGCAAAAGCCTTTGATAGGGTGGAGTGGAGCTATCTTATTAAAATTTTGGACAAACTTGGGTTCAACTTACACTCACAAAAGCTGCTAATGGCCAATCTAGTAGGTTCACATCTCTTTATTCTTATAAATGGCACACCTGCTGGTTTCTTTCAAATGAAGAGAGGGGTGAAACAAGGTGATCCTCTCTCACCTCTTCTCTTTTTGATTAGCAGTGAGGGCTTCACAAGAATGATCAACCTACACATGAACTCCACCTATCTGGGAAGCTACAACACAGGCAATCACCCATTGATAAGCCACTTGGCTTTTGCAGATGACCTAGTGGTTTTCCTCAATGGGGACACTAAAAACTTGAAAAAATTTAGAAGGATTTTAGAGGACTACTGGGCAACAAGTGAACCTTAACAAGAGCAGCTTTTATACTGGGAAGAAGGTCAACCAAACTAAAATTGCTTCAATGTCCAGAAGTCTATGTATGGATCATGGGACACTCCCCTTCACTTATTTAGGTGCAACTATGGTTAAAGGCAAGTTAAGAAAACAGCATTGTTCTAAGCTCCTGAATCACTTTGACAGATATCTTAACTCTT